ACTGATACAGATCAGAAATTAAGGAACTTAAAATAGTTCAGGGAGAACAAAAGAAAACTGCCCTGTTAGGGAAATAAAGCCACACAGGTCATGCTTTTACCTTATAGAAAGGGCATTCTAGGACTGAGGTTAAGAAAAGTTGAGTTAGTTGTGCCAGATTCAATCTGTCCAAATATGATTGTTCACCTGAAATAAAAAGCATCCCAGTCATAATTAAGTTTGAATTGTGGTACATGAAATGACAGAAGAGAACATCAAGAACATGTCAGTTCTTGAATAAACTGATATTCACTCCACTGGGAAGCAAAATCGTTAGAATTATGCTGTTTTCTTGTTAGCAGTGAAACTGACTTCCAAGAATCCTACCTCCTAGCTACAAAATGTAACTGAAAGTGAAAAAATACATTCATAGAATTAGTGGAAGTTTTCTTCAATTATGGAGATCCAAAAACCTGACATACTTGGTGGCCTTGGGTTAAGTGAACAGGATCCTCTCAATCTTTGCTCACCCATCAAAGGCTCTAACATGTTATTGTGGCTATTACCACAAGAATGCTGCAGTTTCTCAGCTAGGGCAGCGTAGTCTATTTATCCAAAACTGCTTTCCTCCCTCTACACAATGTCCTAGCTTCTTTAATTCTGAGTTTATACAAGTATCTAACTTCAGATCTCATCTTCAGAGTATCATGGAATAAAAATAAAGGCAAAGCACTGCTCAAGGTAAAAGGTATGAATGTGACTTGAAAGCATTACAAATTCAAATGTTAATTTTTTCCAACTGTCAGAATTTATAGCCAACTCACCTTGCAGCCGCTGAAGAAAAAAAGGGCTGAATATTTTCGCCATAAAGTTGACTGGATGACATTCAATAAGTGAACACGAATGCAGAAGTTTCAATAGTGTTTTGGGAGGAAAATAATTGAAATGAGTGAATAGCACATTTTCTAGCTTCCTAAATAGAGCAGAGGCGTTCGGTGGCAAATAATTGAGTTTTCCGAATGGTTCAATTAATTCAGAAATCTGACTAGGTGAAAATTTTTCTGATTGGCAAACAAAAGTTTCTGCCACTGCATTGAAGATGGGTTTTGAAAGAATCTGTTTTCTCCCACAGTACTCCATGACTTTGCTGACAACTTCAGGGTCCAAGGTGAGACACAGGGCAGCTACATGTTGCTCTAGAGCTTTTGTAAAAAATCTGTCACTGTGCCCAAAATATATGAAAGCCTCTAAGACTTTCACAAGCTCTTCATCAGTGAATTGAGGGATGTGCCTCTCTACATATTTACCCAATTTTATAACCAGAGGAAGTGCCTGCGTTTGATTAAGAACAACCAGGGCAGTGAGCATTTGGCTAATCAATTTAGGACTCAGGCTGGAAACTAATGAAAGGGAGAAATTGTTTATCTTATTTAAAAAGATCTGGTGTTGGTCCACTTTATCAGTACATGCTTGCAGTATTCTGTAAAGAGACACAATATCCTCTGGGGTAAATGTTTCCAATTTTTCACCTTGCAGTTGATATATAATCGGTTCCAGTGTCACACAACTTGGACCTTGCAGTCTAATCAGACTTTCTCCAAGAATACAAAGATTGTGAACTTCCAGGCCACCTCTTTTGAGGCGATTTTGGCATTCTGCCACTAGGTTCAGTAACAGGCTACTTTGAGGATCCATGCTCAAGAGAATCAGAGCCTGCAGAACAGTCACCAAACTCGTGTTTGACAGATGTGAGAGCTCATGTTCAAACCGAAAGCAAAGAGCCTGAAAGATGCTATTCTCCAGTATTCCTTTTGGCAGCCTTTGATTATCATCTTTTTTTCCCACTTCACAAATCCGTTGTAAAGCTCCTGCTGCCATAGCATCAGACAGGGTTTCCAGTGTGCTTATAAAACTTAACACTTCTTCTGATGAGGTGAAACTGTTGAGTCTCCTGTAAAAGATCTGTTCGTCCTCATTTTTAAGATTTTGTTCAAGCCTGTCCCAGTCGTGTACTTGAGAAAACAGTGGCTCACCAACTGGATGTAGGTCATTTCCATTTTCTGAATGGAACTTTTTACAACAGGCATGATGGAACCTGACCCTGAAAGGCTCAGGTTGTAGTGAACAGAACCAAGGACACAGATGCTCCTTGACTACCTTGTGAACATGATTTATAGGTTGATTTTTCAGAGCAGCCAGAGCTCTATTTATCCAAACATCAGACAAACGATAAAAGTTCCTCCGCAAGGTGATTAAAGCCATGCCATCAGATTCTTGACTTCTCTTGATGACTAAAGAGTAAAAAATGGTCAAAAACATTAAGAACATGACTCGCTCTACATCAACGTTTCCGACACTAAGGATGAGTACCCGAAAAAAAGGGATTAATAAAAATTTTCGACTAAAATAAAAGGACCAGAAGAGCAGGATCTCTGAATCTGAGAGATTAGAGAAGTGACTGGTATCTAACAACAATTATCGATATCACTTGCCAGGCCCTCTAAGTACTATAATGTGTATTAACTTACACGAATTAGGCGCTTTTACCTTCACTTTACAGATGAGGAAGAAGCGGAAGCACAGAGAAGGTGCCTCGCCTAGTGGACTCGGCAGGCAGGTGGTGGAGCTGGGACTCAAATTCTCGCTATTCAAAAGGAACAAGTCAAGTGGGCAAAATTCGGGTAGGTCGGCACAAGGCGAGGGTCCAAACGCGCAGGAAAGGCCCTGAGGTGTTGATTTCCCTCGGGGTCAGAATGCGGTTAGGGCTGAGGAAGGAAAAGACCTGCCTCGGAAAACGGGAAAAAAGTAGAATAAAAAGAGTAAAACAAAGAAGGTCAACGAGCGGGGTAAGGGGACGTCCCATCCAGGCCTCCACACCCCGCTGCGGGATCTGGGAACACGAGTGGGCTGAACGGAGGGGACGGGGAGCCCCAGGGACGCGTCCTCCTTGCAATGAAAGGTCCCCACGGGCCGAGCGCCCCCGAACCCGGCGCCCCGAGGATCTCCGCGCACACCCCGGGCGGCAGCCTCAGCCCGAGGAGGAGGGACGGCCGGGTCAGGACAGTGCCAGCACCTAGCGACACTGAGAGCGCGCGCAGACACCTACCAAGCTCCGGCAGCCGGGCGTTCAGAACCACCGCGGAGGCACCGGAGCCTCGTGGGTCTCCGTACGCGAACGCAGGGGCGGGGTCGAACAGTCCGGCGCATGCGCGGACCCGGGAGTCCACCTTGGCCCCGCCCACACCTGAAGCTTTATGATTGGTCCCGCTCCTCTCCGGAGGGTCCTATTGGTCCTGGGTACCGAGCATGCGCGCTTCGGCCGTGCGCGTGGGCTCGGGGTTGGCTGAGTAGGTACAGTCACGTGGAGTCCCGGCTCGTATAACTTCGTATAATGTATGCTATACGAAGTTATTACGAAAATGAAATGCAAAATTACCAATTTTAGAAAATGTAAACTTGTTGCCTTGCTGTAATTATGAGGAAAAGTATCATATATGCTGTCGTTCTTTATAATATATAGATGCATGTGATGTATGCAAATTAAGCTATATGAGTATGAGCTTAGAGGAAAAAGAGATAGAGAAAAAAGAAATAATGTGCTACAGTGAATGTGAGATAAAAAATACGAATCTGCTAAATCTTCACTTGGTCTCTGTGTGTGTGTCTCTCTTAGGTTATGCACCTGTCACTGTGCTGAGTGGGATGTGAGGACAATTTGACCTGGCCGGGGGTTGGCGAGGGCAGCCGGCTCGCGCGCGTGGCTCCGGGGCTCGGCCTGGGCTCCTCCTGATCGGGAGGCTCCGGGGCCCGCGGGGCGGTGGTGGGGTCGCGGGATCGGGGCCGTGTCGGGAAGGGGCGCGCCCGGGAGACTCGGAACGTCTCCCTCGCGAAGACGGCTGGGCGCGGGCCGTGGGGCTGCCTCCGCCTCTGCGCCCACCCTGGCCCTGCGGTGCTGGGGCTGTTCTGGTCCTTAAGCATATCCCATGACTAACGTGTCATTTCTTTGTGGCTTAATTTGCCCTTGGATGTCATGGGCCAGAGGAGCATAGAACTAGGTGGTTCATTCACTGAAAGGCAAGATTTTGGTTTAGTTTTCAATTTAAATCTGAGCCTAGAAATGACAGCCCCCCAGATTTAGCTCCTGGACGAGTATGGAAAAAATTTCTAGGAACTAGGTGGTTCATTCACTGAAAGGCAAGATTTTGGTTTAGTTTTCAATTTAAATCTGAGTCTAGAAATGACAGCCCCCCAGATTTAGCTCCTGGACGAGTATGGAAAAAATTTCTAGATCTTATTTATTTTTTACTCCTGGTTATCTCTTCAGGAAAAATATGTGTATTAGTAAAACATTTGAGTGGTTGGAAATATTTTCTGTCTGCGTGCACATGTATGTGTATTTATGCACAGACGCTGACGTATACTTTGATATGAAATAAAGGGGAGTATGTGCCGTGATTAACTTTAGTACTGGGATTGATTTGTCTAGCATTAGGATCAAATAGGAACGAAGAATCCTTCAATTTTAATGGAATTTTTATTTTTACCTCTTTTTCAAAAGAAGAAACAAGAAGATATCTAAGACTTTTATGAGTGATATTAGGACTCAGGCTTTGTTCAGATGGTTAGCATGTGTCACATCCTTTACCAGTGAGGTATTATGATCCCCATTTTAAGGATAAGGATGCTGAGGTACAGGTCAGTTGAGCAGTTTGTCTGCACGTATGTAATTGTGAATGACAGATTCAAGCCCGAATACTTTGACCCCCTAATACGATTTCTGAGCCATGAAATTAGAGTTTCATTCCTGTACTCCTCGTAGTTTGATGAATTGCCTCGTACTTAGGCTCATTTAGAATTAGTGCTAACAAATTTAGGGAAGGCTATATTATGTGTGGGTATTGTTGCATTCCATTTTAAAGATGGAGGAAGAATTAATAACTGCAGGTTGTTACTACTTCATTAAAGAGAAAATCCCTTTTTTCCTTTTCTGTTTTTCACCGTCATTGTTACAGTTACGTAGCATATGCCTTGAGATGATGAGGAGGTTTTTGTTACTGTATGCTACACAGAAAGGGCAGGCAAAGGCCATAGCAGAAGAAATATGTGAGCAAGCTGTGTCGCATGGATTTTCTGCAGATCTTCATTGTATTAGTGAGTCAGATAAGGTGAGAGCTGTTAACTGTTGTGTTTTATGCTTTGAAGTATTTTTGTGGGGAAGAGATGTTTGTTTTCTGTTTGTAGGACACTAAAAACCACCATAATCTTTTTTTTTAACAGCCATAAATTTATGCATTTAAGATTATGTCACCTTTTTTTTTTTTAGACATAGAAGTGTACATTTGAATTAGGCTAAATATCTCAAAAACCGAAACACGTAACTATTTCTCAACTATAAATGATGGTAGTAGCCTTGTTTCAATGAGAACAATGAGATGTTTGTGTTTGTGTGCACGTCTGCTTCTCACCTCGTGATTCTCTGTGTCCCATTTCGTTTTCTTAAAAGAAAGACCTTGCCATTCATGTTATAGTTCTGCCAAATGAAGGACCCACCTAGATTCTTTTGTGAAATGGAATTTATAGTAGTAATTTAAGGATCTGGAGAGGACTCAGCTGTAAAAGGTCAGGGACTACTTGTTTTTGCGTTTAGTTTCTGCAAAAGTTCCTACCTCTTAGGGTATCTGTTATAAGACCCTAACAATTCTATGTTTTTCTTTCAGTTAGGCTGAGACCTCCAGATTATGCTGTTTCAGACAGTTCAGGTGATAACTAGCAGGGTCTTTATACCACGAGATGAAGTGCTAGCCAAGAAGCAGTCAAATTCACTTCAGTGCTTCAAAAACTGTCCTGCCAGTACCATCTCACTCAAGTTCACAGCCTCTGCTGGCCTTTCCCAAATCTCTAGTTCTAGATTGTCAGCAGCACAGGTAACTTATAAACCCACCTCCTAGAAGGAAAGTCATATGGTTCTTTTATGCATCACTGCCAACGTGACTCCAGATATTGTCATTTACAGAAAAGAGAGGCTCCTGGAAGACACCATCAATCTGCAGGTTCTGTCATTCTACCGTAACTTAAAAAGAATTTACATTGCAGTGCTGCATGATGGGAATACGATCTGAACCTGTTACTCCAAGCAAAAACAAAGTCGTCAGTATTAAAAAACTAGCCCTGATTTGGCCTGTTGGGTTGACCTCACTGACTATGTCAGCAGCTATTTGACAGTGAGTGGTGCATTTTTTTTAACACCACATTAGGCACCACTGTTTGCCCTGCCTGGCTGAATGGTTTCTCCTGTTGTTTGTGTGATAAGTTTAAAGCGATAACTCCGCTTCCTAATTCACAATAGTCCTTTTCAAGGTTAAGTTACTTACACAAACTCTGTGTAGAGTTTAACACAGAACTTGGGTAGTGTCTTATAAGCATTAAATGCCCTGGTAAAAAGTAAGCTCAAGTCTTTATCTGTTATATCAGCATGGAAAATAAAGTGGATTCTTTGGAGCCAAATTAGGTGATGGTCATGAGTAGTAGGGCTCACAGATTCAGTGAAGTGCTGTGTTTGAAATATTTAAATTTACATGAGAATTCAAATAAAGAAACTTGATTTATAAGAGTTGGAAACACTGATGATCTCAATTTACAGCTGATGATATTCCCAGCTCCCTGGAACCCTGAGGGAATGAGGAGTCATTCATGATAGCAAGGTCCCTGACATCTAGCGGGATCACTTTTAATTTCCAAATTTAAAATACCCTGTGTGCCTTTGTGTCATATGCAGTACAGACGATTGTGTTTATGTTTTGTTGAAGACTTTTTGCTGTCTTCAGGATATTCTATTTGTTACTGCCTCGCTTTGCTGCTTTCAATCTGGGTACTTATGTATCTGTTCACTTTATTCCTGAATTCCTCCCCTACCCTGTACTTTTTAATTTCTTTGCTTGATTTTTATGAAAAGACATTCCCACCCAATTACAGTCACTCATCGCTTAACAACAGGGATATTTCTGAAAAATGCGTTAAGTAAATTCATTGTGCATACATCGTAGAGTGTAATTAAACAAACCTAGGTAGTGTAGCCTACTGCACACTTCTGGCTGCATGATAATGTTATGACACCATTGTCAGATGTGCAGTCTGTTGCTATCCAAAACGTGGTCACCCCAGTCTGCAACTGCTTTCCCTCCTTGGCAGCTCATCAGTGCCGAGGTGTGTCATCTTTGCTCTTTCCTGGGCTTATTTGCCTTGCAGATTAGAGGTCATGTTAACTGACATTGGGCACAGGGCTAATTACATCTGTCCCATCTCCCCTGATTTTTCTAAAAATGAAAGATTGGACTAGATGGAAACCTGGGGTGGGTCCCGTCTCTGCCTGTCTAGTGAAACGCATGGGGAGAAGGACATGTTCACCTCTCCTAAGCTCTTGATGAGCATCAACAAAACAAATGTGTGGTCTCATTGAGTAACATACTACATTGGGCAACTTGATCAAACAGAGAGTGCCTAGTCACTGGACCGGTCACTCTGTCACGAATCTCAAATACTCTGATAAGTAGGAAAATTAAAAGGAAATAAAAGACAGAGGAACCTCATCTGGTTGTCTTGCTGATGTGTGAAATAAAAATACAGGTAGCATTAGGTCCCTTACTTGATATCCTTGTTTTGTAGTATGATCTGAAAACTGAAACAGATCCTCTTGTTGTTGTTGTCTCTACCACCGGCACCGGAGACCCCCCTGACACAGCCCGCAAGTTTGTTAAAAAAATACATGACAAGACACTGCCGGTTGATTTCTTTGCTCACCTGCGGTATGGATTATTGGGTAATGGATTATATTTTCTGCTCTTACAATATTATTACTGACTTTAACTTTGGTATCTGATTATATCTTTCAAAACCATGAAATATAATTACATGGGTTTCATTTTTTTTATCTTTTATATAAATACTGTGTACGAGTGTACATATATTACTGTGTGTGTTCATATAATATATTTAAATGGAAATAATGTGCTGTTTTGTATGAATGCTTCTCCAGCCTTCACCCCATGGCAACACCTCTGCAGAACCTCTGGAGTAGCACTCTTAACAAGGGTGCACATCAGATTCAGCCGTGAAACATTTCCAGAATATTAGCAGCTAGGCATCACCTGAAACCTACTAAAACAGAATCTGTGGAGTAGCAGCCACTTAGGCTGTTTTGTTATTATAAAACAAAAATAAAAATAAAAACTAATCCTCCCAGGTGATTCTGATATCTTCCCTGTCTAAGAACTGTTCCCCTAGGATGGTGATTTTCAGTCTCTGGATGCACATTAGAACCCGCTGGGGAGTTTTTATTAAATTCAACTACTTGGCCCCTCTTCCAGTGATCCTGACGAATTGTTCCAAGGTAGGGCCCTGGCATTCGTATTTTTAAAAGCTCCTAAGTGATTCTCAAGCATTCCTGGTTAAGAAAAACTTATTAAGATAAAGATTCAGAAGGACCAGCTCTGAAGAATATGACACCAACGAGGGAATTGAGGGTCCATTTTCCTGGCTTGTGACCTATATTGTTCATCTTTGAGGATTATTTTGGGGTGAGGGTATCTAGCAAGGATGGATTGTGCTCTAATAAATGATTAGAAATTTGAGATTGTAACCCTGGCCATGATCTGTCATATATAACATGTTCAAGAGAGTATTTTAAGATATTTACAATTTTTTTTTAACTCAGATTTTTCCAGTTTCTGTATTTTCAGGAGTATTTTAAGATATTTACAATTTTTTTTTTAACTCAGATTTTTCCAGTTTCTGTATATATTGCTTTGAAAATCCCTCAAAAGC